TCTTAACTTAATTTTCCCTTTAAAATGGATCTCCTAATGTTGACTGCACAGTGAGAACTTTGAGGCTGAATTCAATGTGCAATAGAACAGCTTTGCCAAACTCACCAGGCATTTTGCTTGGACATTGTGGCTGGAGGAAAGGATTAGTACCCGCTATGTCAAGGAATCTGGGGAAATACAAAGAGAAAGAACTCCCTTGAACAAGTGAATACCATGAGTTGTGGAGGGTAGCTCAGTCATTTTTCAACAGACAAGTAACCAGAATCACACTGGAATGTTTCTTCCTTGACATACACTGAAAAGTTAGGTTCCCTTTTGTCCCAGACATCATCTAACTGCTACTAAACAAGGACACAAAATTTTATTAATCCTCTTTGTGGGTTACCAGTTCCGCATTCTTCTCCTTTTTCTTCTTCCTCCTGGTTGCCTTCTAACTCAGTATAGCTGTCCCAAAGGGTTGCAGATTAGGAGATGGGAAAAATAAAAATTGAAATTCATGTATTGTGTTTTCCAGTTCTTGATGAGATGACAGTTAAGAGACTGGGAATTGTTCCAGTAAACCCTTTAGAAGCTAACCAAGCATTTGCGTAGATATCTAACTTTTACTTCTTTTTTTTTTTTTTTTTTGTCATAAAGTGTTTGAGATGGCTTAAAAGATTATATACAATAAAATAGAAGAGTACATAACTAAGTGGAGTTAGTGACCCTATAAATTAGAATAGAAAATCAAGAAAGAAATGAATACGTTTTTCTGAGCATAAAGCTTGGGTTTCGGTGACCTCTTGCAGGCCCAGTGGGTGGGCTTTCCAGGGGGCTAGGAACAAAGACTGCTACAGAGCACACGACTCATGATTTCCGCAAATTTATCTCTGTTAAAAGTTGGAACAATATTGAGAGTTAAGTGGGTTGACTTGGAATTTGCCTCTCCTGTTACCACAGTATTTAGCTAGACTCTCCCCCACCGATCTTTTTACATTTTTCCCAGAAAAAAGCCACTTTACTGTACTCAGCATTCACTCCACCTCCACCCCCACAGCGAGATTGGTGGCTCACAGCCAGCATCTCAAAATGGGGGCCTTCATGGCTGCATCTGCCTGGTGACCTCCTCCTGATCCTCCCCCCTCAGGGATTTAAACTCTGGTTTACTACCAAGCCTCTGCTAATCCAGGCACTTTCTTGCCAGAGGCTCCTTAAAGGGGAAATGCCTCCCTTTCTGGCTACCTTGTTCCTTAATCTCCTTCCTCCCCCTCCTTTCTTGTTTTTCTCCTCCTCTTCTCTTTCTCCCCCTTCTCCTTCTGTGTTTCATCCAGCCAGCTTTTCATGGGCATGTTTGTTTTCTGAGTTGAAAGAGGAGCAAGAAATGGTTTGTACCCCAGGAGAGCTCATCATAGGAGAGGGGATGCATGAAACAAATAGTTATGAGTCTGTGATGGGTGTGGTGCAGGCATGAAGGGGGTGGTTTGTTAACCTGGAAGAGGACGTGATCAACTGCTGAAGTCTCCTCACAGACAAGTGAGCCTGAGATTGGTCCAGAAAAATGAGCAGGAGATGAGCAGGTTGGAGAAAGTGTGCAGGAATGTGATAGAGGAAGACATTCTGGGCAAAAGCAATGGTTTCTTCAAAGGCTTGGAATTGTGAAAGGACATTGTGTGTGGTGCAGAGTCTGAAAGATGGGGAGAAGAGGGAAGAGATGAGCCTGGAGGGATGAACTGTACTTTAGAGAACGAAGTGCCTTTAGGATATGGATTTTGCCCAATAGGCCACCGGAAGTCAGAGGATGTCTTTGAACAGGAAAGACTGAGTCTTGAGATGCTCCCTCTGGCAGCAGGGAGACACTGTGGGGATGAACTGAACAAGAGAGAGACTGTGGAAGAAGCTGGGACAGTGAGTTGTAGAGTTGGGGAAAGAGATAAAGCAGGCTTAAACTGAATCAGCAACCTGGGAATGGAAAGAAGTGGTAGACCAGATGACTAATCTGGTGTGACAAAAGAAAGGGGGAAGGAAGTTTGGTGCCTAGAAAGGAACTGTTGTCATGAATGAGATAAAATAGGGAATACACAGAGGACCAGACGCTCCTCTAGGAAGTCTGTTTTTCTTTTATCCATTATTTTTTATTCCTCTTTTCCTTTAAAACCATCTTAAAATGCATCTACCCCAGAAATATTAATCTATGGTGTTCTGATACCCTAACCTTTCTGTTTACACCCAAGCCTTTCCTTTGTAGGTATTCACCTTGACATTTATTCCATCCACAAATGTCTATTGAGGACCCACTGTGTGCCAGGCACTGGATTTGGGCCTGGGGGCCAATGGTGGAAAGACAGATAGGTCCATGCCCTCACTGATGCTTCTAGCATAGAGGAGTAGACAGACAATAGACTTAATACTAAATTGTTTGTATATGGTATGAGAGGTATGGTTTAAGGGGTTGATAAGAGTCAGATTGTTCAGGACCTTATAAATTGTGGTCAGGAAACAGAATCTTATCCTCAGAGCAATGGACAAAAAGCCAGCAGGGCTTACGGTGACAGAAAGCAGGAAGGCAGAACTCTGGGATGTCTCTGAGGTTTGGAACTTAAGCAACTGAGTTGATGGTGGTGTCATACATCTAGGTATTACTGTGTATTTTTCAAGTGTGTGGTGTATGTTTCAGATGTTCTATCAGCATCACAACTACCAGCATGGAAATATTCAAGGTATTATATCTGACTGAACTGTCCACATACTGTGGTATTGCAGTAAATGCATAGGGATTTAAAATCAGATGATGTGTTACATGTAAATGTGTGCTTTCACTATTGAGTTGGACCATCTGTAAAAGTTGCATTTTGGGGGCAAAAGAACCTTGAACTATCTTAATATTTTGTAATGTGGTGAGAAATAGGGTTGATGGAGAAAAACTGAGGTTGAGACAAAGAAATAAAAGCTCCTAAGAAAACTACTGTCCCTTAGTGTGTTCTGCTGAAGGTTAGATGTGAGGAGCAAGATGACTGTAGGTCAAGGTGTCAATCTGTGAAGGGCTGGGGACAAGGAAGGAGGAACTGCCCCTGTGTGTAAGGTTAGAATGAATGTTCCACAGTCTTCCATGGTCTCTGACCACCTGGGTTTAGGCCAGGATTCATTCGGGCATCTCTGTTCTTTAGTGTCTGAGTGGGAAAGCTGGTGAGTCATTCCTTGGATTGACGGAAACCAGCAGCACTTGCTGGACTGTCTGGGCTGTCTCCGAAGAAGGAGAACAGGTAGAGCCAGGCTTAGATGATGAGAATTTTCCACTGTATGGCGGTGTCGGCCAGGGATGCCTAAAATGGTTTATTAGCTTTCACAGAAGACCCATTCCTTAGCCTAGGAGACCATGTAAATTCATGGTCAAGTGAAATGCTCTCCTTGTGTGTTTCTCCTCCAACATTTTGGACACTGAAACTTTCAGGGAGGCATTTACTGAATTGATGTGCAATTGAGTATAAAAGACTTGTACACATTTATCTGAAGCATTGTATATTTTTTTCTGCTTTCAAGATAGTTACATTTTAATGAAAAACTTTGTTACTGTTATGACAAAGAAAAACTAATCAAAGAATCGTATTTTAATAGTTGATTTTAAAGTTTATAAACTATGGCTATAATGATGCTTTGTATCAGCTAGTTTCAACCAGTGTCAAAAGTGCGGCAAGAATTTTTAAACATTCAATACCCAAATATTTAGTCTTAAGCACTGACCTCATTTTCCCTTAGATTGTCAAATTAAAAAATGACAACGGCTAACACAACAATAGCTGTCCAGTGTGGATAAATCAAAATTATACCTATGTTTTTTGTGTCAGATCAAGAAAAAATATAATATATGATGTTGTGTTACAGAATTGTAGTTTATGTGTGTCATGAGATGAAAAAGGTTGAAAATAGCTGCTTTGTGTTGACATAATGGTTTACAGTGTACAAAAGCATTGTCACATGTTTTCCATTGGAGATACACAACTACCTAGTTGTGAGCAGGGGTTGCAACGCCCTTTTCACAGATCAGGAAATGAGGAAGTTGAGAAAGAGGGAGTGCCTCAGTCACATAAGTCAGAAGAGATTTGGGCCCTGAATCTCCATCATTTGACTCTAAGACCCGTAATCTCTCTCCTGCATGTTGGATGTGAAGTCCCACAGCAAAGGCGGGGACGACGCCCAGGATCTTTGGCCATCGCTAGGTAGTCGGCACTGGCGACGCCATTCCCACACCTCATCTCATCCAGCCCTCACAACCCCATGGCAGTTATCACCACCCCGCTTTACGGATGAGGGAGAATATGCCCAAGGAGGTTCACTTGCTAACTCAAGCTAGTGAGTGGCAGGGCTGGGACTTGACCAGGCCATCCAACTCCTGAGTGACTCTCTTAACCAGTAACCTGCCTACACTATCCTACGAGGAAAGATCTCGGTGCATATTATAAAATTATTAGGTAACAGCAATATCAGTCTTAGGGATTTACTACATTATTCACTTCTCAACTTTCAGACAAAGGCTAAAGTAGAGAGCTTTCTCAACATTTTTTTTTTTTTTTTTTTTACAAAATAAGACAAATTTGCAAGAAATCAGTAATTGCCTCTTAGTAGAAAATGAATGAAACTAACAGTCTTAAGTAGTATTCTTTGGCCAGAGCATTATTTGGAATGAGACATTTCTAATCTGTGGAACCAATGTGGCATGTCGCAGGGTCCATTGATGATCTTGTGTCTGTTTACAAACTCAGATGGTGATTTCTGTAACCTGGGGTGTTGGTATACTAACTGATTATTAACATGAATATTCCATTCTTTACCTTTGAATCAGTGTAGGTTTTCTTTGTATTCATTTCTTGGTTTTCCTTTTATTCTGTTCTTGCCTAGACCCACAGTCTCTGGTGGGAGATGCATAACAGATATAATGAAACTTGAAGGATGAATTATGCTGGGCTGATTAGTGTTGCTCTATTTTCCAGTTTAAAAAAAATGGCAAAAACATGCTTTTATCCTAGATGACTGCTACATTGAGAAACTTGGTTGATTCACCACTAGCAAGAAGCAAGTTGCTGAGTGTCGGTGCCATTGCCCAGCTCTGCACAGTGATGGGGCAGTTCATGAGTGACAAGGACGTGTGCACCAATATTGCCAGAATATTCAGGTAGGTGGACTAAGAAAACAGTACCTTACAAAAATGCCAATGCTTGGACTTCAGGTTATCTTTAATATTTGTGTGTGTGGCAGGCAAGGAATCCTATTTTCCTCTTCTTCACCCAGTAGCGAAGGTATATCTAAGAGCCCAAGTTTAAAATGAATAATTTAAACTAATGACTCCATTTCCTATATATTTCTAATGTGATTTTAAAGTCATCGATTATAGGTCATTTCAGTTCTTCGGTGAGTTGTGAGTTAGCCTAGTGTTCTTACGAAGGAAACAAAAAAGACTTCTGTATTTTCTTGAAGATGAAGAATTACATCACAAAACATGGCAAACTTTCTGATACACTTGGAAACAATACTTCAGGGTCTTAACTCAGAAAGGGGACTATTTCTGAGAAAGTCTGATCTGACAATTGGTAAGAGAAGTTTATATTATTTCAGTTGTTTGGGTGAACGTTGGCTCACACATTAACTAGTCATGTTTCCCCTTCACTGCAGAGATGATGATCATCTGAATCCAGGTTGCCTCAAAGCAAGATGCCAAATTTAAGAAGTGTCCTTAAGTTATTCCTCTGTATTTCCTTCTTCATTGCTCTTTGCCAGTGTTTTTATGTAATGATCTTTCTCAAGAGAGCTGGCCCTTGCTTGAACTATACCTCTGTAGTTGTTTAAAGAAATGGAAAATTTCCCAAAGACTGAATTGGTAAATGACCCTAGTTTGAGAAGGCACTTTCCTGAGCTTTGTGCTGGGTACTTGATAACTCTCATTTTGAAACAGTAGTAAATCATGAAGTTTATTTTTGAGTATGGTGACGTGTAGGGATCCGATTTACTATTTTCCCACATGGATGGTCCATTGTCCCAGCACCTTTTATTGACTACACCATCCTTTGTTCACGGATGTTGAATGCCTGGTCAACCAAACACAAAGTTCCATGCACTTGAAGCTCTGTTTTGGGGCATTCATTTGGTCCATTCTCAGACCAGCACCACACTGTTTTACTATTACAGATTTAATTTGTCTTGCTATAAGAGGAGATGAATCTATCACTTCTTTTTTCCTTTAAAATCCAAATTCTTCTTTTCTCTTCCTTATGAATATGATAATCAGCTAAGGTCCCTGATAGGACCTTTGTGGTTTTTTATGGATCTACACTGAGAGTGTAGTGTAATTGGGGTGGCAGTGGGGAGGCTGACATCCTTATGATACTAAATCTTTCATCCATAGACATTTTTGTCTTCTTTTACATCTTTCAATAATATTTCACAATTTTCTCCAAAAGTATTTTGCACATCTTTTGTTAGATTTATTTCTTCATGGCTTTTGCTGTGATTATTAATATAATCTTTAAGAATTGTTTTCTAATAGGTTGTTGCTGGTATATATGAATAGTATTGATGTTTGCTTATTAAGTATCCAGGGATCTTGATGAATACAGGGTCCAGCAGAAGTAAGGCTTGCTAGGGTGTGGTTGGTAGGGTATGTGAATGTCTTGCACGAAATGGACAGTAATTTGAACATTTCACCTCAAATGTCACATGGTATGCTTGAATGTGATATTATTATGTTTCAGAATTACATACGTAAGATTTTGTAATAAAAGATTTGATATAGATTACCAGCTCATAAAAGAGGGACGTTTTTGTGCCAGACCCTGTGTTAATGTCTAAGAGCTTATCTATAGATTCTCTTTGAGAATGATTTTTTCCCAGTTATTGCAATTCTTCTTCCACGTCCCTGTTTCTTTCTTCGCACACTACTTAGGATGTCCAATCCAAAGTGGTAAGAGTGTTTGGCCTGCTGCCTTTATCCTGACTTTAAAGAAAGCATTTTTTGAGGCTTTACCAGTTGAAAATAATATTTGTTATAGGTGTTTATAGGTTCCCTTTAGAAGGAAAAATTTTCTCTACTAATGGCTGATGGATTTTCTTAAATGCTTGCCCTAAATCTCTTTTGATTATGTGGATTTTTTTCTAATTCATTAAAATAGTGGATTACATATAATAGATTTTCTCATTTTAAACCATTACATTTTGTTAGGTTTGGTTCACAAACATTTAGTTTCGGATTTTTCATTCATGGTCATGAGTTAGACTGACCTTTACTTTTCCTGTGTCACATTGGCCTTGTCTGGTTTTCATGTCAGTTTATTTAAACCTCATAAAATGAGCTGGACAGTGTTCTGACTTCTTTTCTAGAAGAATTTATGAAAATTAAACTCCTCTGTTTCTTGAAAAGCTTACAGAACTTACTTGAAAAGCTATTTTATCCTGGTGTGTGTGGGGGTGAATATTGTTGACTACTGAGTACTTTCTCTAATGTTTAAATATCTAACCATATTTCCTATTTCTATTTGTATCAGTTTCAAAAAGTTGTATTTTTATATGAATCTATATAAAGTTGTCTCAGATATTCTCTTGTTATCCTTTTAACCTCTGTTAGATCTCTAATTATGTCTCCTTTTATTTATTTTATATATTTAATAAATACTTTATAGTGCCTATTATGTGCCAGGCAATAGTCTAAGCACTTGCCAAATACTGACTCGTTTACTCCTTATAACAACTTTAAAAGATGCAGACTATTGTTTTTATCTTTATTTTTACATATGAGGAAACTGAGGCACAGAGAGGTTTGCTAGTTCTTCCACAGTCACACAGCGAGCAAATCACAGAGCTGCAGCTCTAGCCAGCTAGTCGGCTCTAGAATCCATGCATTTAACCATGATTTATTCTACCTCTTCATTGTTGGTATTGATTTTCATTCCTAATTTTGATTATTTATGATGTTTTTCTTTTTTCTTTATCAGTGTTGCCAATATTTTTTTTTACCAGTTTTTGCAGAACCAATAGATTTATTGATCCACCCTGTTATATGTTGTTTTCTATTTTCTTCCTTCTGTTCTTATCCTTATTAATCCCTTTCACCTACTGTTCTTGGATATATTTTCTTCTAACTGTTGTAGGTAGAAACTCAATTCCTGTCTTTTCAACTTTCTTAAGGCTATAATTTTTCCCATAAATAGCTAAAGCTACATCCCACAAATTTTGATTGGTAGTATCTTATAGTATTTGTAGTATATCTAAGTGCTTTTTTATTTTCATGTTTCTTTGACCTGCAAATTGTGTTTTTTAAATTTCCAAAAGTATGTTTGTAAAGTATTTTTAAAAATTGATTTCTAACTTAATTTCATTGACCAGAGAATGTGATCTATGAGATACCAGTTCTCTGAACATTTACTGAGACTTGTTAATGGCCTGGTACATGGTCACATTTTTCAAATATTAGTGATGTTTTACCTATTAATCTATCAATTAATGAGAAATTTATGAATATCTGCCAATTTGATATGTTTACCTTATTAGTTTTATTTGTTTTCATGCTTGCCTGCTATAGAAATTTTGAAGCTATTTTCAAGGCTTTTTGCCTTAAGGTCTATTTTGACAGATATTAATATACAACTGCCAGGCTAGAATATACACTTAGAACATTTGCTGCTGATGGGGTCTTAGGGATTCACTGGTTGGTATCCAACCAGATTTTGCGTAAATTTCTTGGCTTCCTTTTTCTGAATCATGTGGGTTTTGTTGATTATATAAATTTATACCATATACATGTGTTACAGGCTTCAGGTTTCTGTTTTTCAAAGAACCTTTTTTATTTCCCCACCGTATGCCCCCAGAGTCTACAGCAGACAGCAAACCTCCCTCAGACTTCTCTGCACTGGTGTGTGGGATATTTCTAGACTCCTTTTCATGCACTGGGCAATGCTTTGAAGGTCTGCATTTAAGGTAAAACAATGTGTACTTGAATTTTATAGGAAAACAAAGTGTATTTTTATCTTCCCATTTGGCATTTCTGCAGCAAACTTACTACCTACCATGACTGCTGTGTCACCTTGGCCAACGACTCCAGATGTTATGCCTTGTTTTTAAATCTGATAAACAAATACCAGAAGAAACAGGTCAGTTTGATTTTGCATTTGATTTTTCAGTGTGTCTCTGAATCGGTGTGTTCATGTAGTCATGTTGAATGACTTTATGTTTTAAATGTAAATATTTCTATTCGAAGCTTCCATTAGATGTGTAATGGGCTGCCCCAGGAGGCAGAGAGTTACTTGCAGCAGTTGGGGAAGGAGTTGTTTGAGGGAGAAAAGGCCTCAATAAAACGTCTATGTGGTGGGAAGTTTCCTGATTTAGGGAGGGGGTGGGTAGACTCCAACAGTGTTGTTCTTCCCCATGATCTGGAGACCTCTTCGTGAGAAGCACATTGGGGTCAAGCAGCGGGACGGGGGACGGGGCGGGGTGGGGGGTGTCCTGGTAAGTCCCAGGCCCCGCTCCAAGCCTACGCCGTCAGATGGGCGGGGCCAGGCCTGGCCACCCGCATTTCAACAAAGACTATAGGGACTTCTGATGCAAATTGCAGTTTGAGATACCTCTGCACTTGGTATACACTAAAGATTCTTCTAGCACTGAAATTCTCTAATTCTTTGACCTTGTATTTAGAAAATAAAATTTCTAGGTAAGTATTTAAAGGAAATTATTTGTTTATAATGGATTGGGCAAAAACCTGTATAGTTGTTTTTTAAAAAAAGGAAGAATTCACAAAGACTTCCCCTTAATAAAACTATGATACTTAGTACAAATATGAATTTTTATTATGTTTTTAAATCATTAAATGTGGTCTAATTTTACTTACCTTTATAAATGATTAAAGTGACACCAACTCTTTAGAGGAGACATTTTATAGTCAAAGACAATATGTATGCATTTCAGATGTGGTAAATTTTCAAAATCACACAGTAAGTTTCATCAGCTAATAAGTAAGTTAAATGTATACTAAGAATATTTATGTTTGTTATTATTATATTAACCATATCAAAGCCACCTCAAAACATAATCCCTGTTTGCCACAAATAGCATTGAGCTTATTTTTAGTCAGCCAAGTACTTCTGCTGAGAATGACAAAATGTGTCAGATTTTGCATTATTAAGGGCTATTTATTAAAAGGTTACAGGTCTCTTTTTGGTTATATAGGTGACAGAGAAAATTCTATGTTCTTATATCATTACTACAATTTAAAGATAAAACCTTGCTTAAAGGATTAAGTTTTTATTTAATTGTTAAACACTGATTTTTAAATATGCACCTAAGTTTCTGATTTTGAATATTTGGCTTACAAAGACTTTCCTCTGTGCACTTTGTATTTTCTCTAAATTACATACTTTGACAGATTTCAAGGTATAAGAATTTTCCATGTCAAAAATGACTTTTGATTCATTTACCTTAAGGTATTCACAATCTGCTGTTTATGTGTCTATTGAGCATTTACTAATTTAGATTTTGGTGTAATATATTATCAAAACTAAGTCTTTGGACAAGTGAGCTGACCCCATGAAAAGCTTAGGCACACATATTGGTTTTCTTTTTTAAGGAAAAAAATTAAAATGGTAGAAACAATAGTTTACCATAGCATTAAGAGAATTATTTTAGATTATACAAAAACAGTTTAGTTGTGGAATTTGTTTCGTAATTTTCTTTCATGGATTTACTTCATGGATTTTCATTGTAATTTTATTTTACCATAATTATTCTTTTTTGCTTTGACATTTTGATCATGCGTGACTTAGATGACTGTAACTGGAGAAGACCTCTTTGCTTTGCACTAGAATTTTCAAAGGTGGATGAAAGAAAACACTTGTTTTTAACAGTTTGCTTTCAAGTTGTCATAACCTATAATTTTTTAAAAAGGGAAAAAACCTATCAGTTGAGTACTGACAAAGAGCCTTATGGCATCACTAGTACATACTGTGTGTTCCTCTGATTGTAGCATAGGTACAATCAGATAGCCATGTTTAATAAACAGACAAAATTTCTGGTAGCTTGCCAAGAGGAGATATTTGCGATGACAGTATGGTAAAGGTATGATTTTTCTGGTTCCAGAGACTAAGTTAATTAAAATCTAATTGACTACATTTTTACCACACTTCTCATTGAACTACTTTTTCCCCGTAGTCCAATAGTTATCTGCAGAGCAAAATTGGTGTTTAAAAGCCATATTTTATCTTTTGACCTATATTATAATTTTGTGTTTCTATTGGAATTATTTTGGTCCAAAGAAAAAAGAGCACCTTGCAAACTATATATAGTAACACACTGTTTATTCAGAACCATCAAGAAAATACACACTGTATCCCCTTAATCACCAAACTTATTTTAATCATTGTGGTAAAAATTATATTCAAATATACTACAAATGTATTATAAAAGATATTAAAAAATAATTTAGCCTCTTTTTGATGCTTTAGAGGCTCTGTGTCCACTTTGGGAACGTGGGTCTATTGATGGGGTTCTCTCAATGTTTTTGTCTTCTTTTTGTCTTCTTCTCTCTTCCCTTTCTAATGGTCCTCACCTCTGCCTTTGGCAAGTATGTATTTGCTTGCAGTGAGTAGGGAAACATCATAGCCAAACTTGTTAAAAGTAACACCTAAAAAGTCTAAAATATAATTGAATATGAATAGGCCCTTAGTGAGAAGGGCCTAAGAGACTCTGATGAAATTTCTCTTGTTACTTCTCATCCTCAAAAGCCAGTTTATGTTTCAAGATGTACCTCTCATGTGCTCTTCTCTGTGAAGTTTTTCAAGACCAGTCAATTCCTCCCTCATCAGTGCATGATTTTAAAGACTTTAATGTAGCTAGGACACCTAGCTAGTATACCCAGAACTAAGGATCCAAGCAGTATATCTGTGACCTCTAGCCCTAACCAGGTGGCTCAGTTGGTTGGAGCATTGTCCCATGCACCAAAAGGTTGTGGGTTCAACCCCCAGTCGGGCTACTGATCTGGGAGGCAACTGATCATGTTTCCTTCTCACATCAATGTCTCTCTCTCCCCTGCCCCTGCCTTCCTCTCTCTCTAAAAAAGAAAAAAAAAATCAATAAATATATTGATTTAAGCCCTCAGGTGAGAATTTAAAAAAGAAAAGAAAAAAATTATGCAAAACTTAGAAGAAGGGTGTGGTGTGGGAGGCTGCATGTCCTGACAAAGTCAAGCTGGGGCATTGTTTAATGGGCAGGGCTTAACTCTGAGGAGAATGCATCTGTGTTTAAACTTGCTATTTACTACCTGATTAGAAAGAACCCAGACATTGTGAAGTTACACATTAATTTGTAGATCTCTCTCTGGTAGACAAGGTAACCTCAAAAGTTATGGTTTTATTACTCTGTAGGCCATCAATTTTCAACCTCTTATGTCTCATGGTACACATAAACTAATTACTAAAATTCTATGACACACACACACACACACACACAAATATATTTTTTTGCCAGTCTGACAGAAAAATAGGTATAATTTTGATTCATTCACACTGGACAGCTATTGGCTGTTGTCATTTTTTAATTTGACAGTCTAAGGAAAAAGAGGTCAGTGCTCCTGACTAAATAGTCAGATATATTACACGTTTTAAAAATTCCTGCAGATCACTGGTTGAAAATCACCGCTGTAGGCTATCAGCCAGGTCTGTATCTAATCTAGTAATCTTATCCCAACAGTTCTTTTTAATGCTGATAAACACCCAGTTCTTTTACTGTTCTTGGAACCAACTTTATCATTGTATTGGATTCTTCATTAATGAAATAATTTTTAAAATATGTTAATTTTATATTTGTATGAGGATCATGTTGTTGACTTTCCTAAAATTATACTTTAACTTTATACTGTCTTTTACTTATATTAAAGAATGCAATGTTACCTTTTTGAACCGTCTTTGATTTTTTTAGTAAGAGGAATACATACATAATTTATATTTTCCTCAAACCAAACTGTTTTAGAAGAGCATGGAAACTGTTTGGACTACAAGGAAGTTGTTATGTGTTCCAACTACTTCCTAAAATCATTAACCAAAAGCTCCCATAGGTCTTTGTAAATACATATTTCTTTTGTGATTCTGCAAATGGCTATCACTTGTGTAGCTGCCTCATCCTCTAGTTGAAGTTCCTCAAGGACACAGCCCGACCTTGATAAACCTGAGATGATACTTGACATAGTAGGCTCATGACAAGTGTTTAAAGAATGAATTTTGAGTATGTGAAATGTTTTGAAGTCTGTAAAGTATTGTAAAATATTTTTTCTAGTACTCTAGTTCTTCTTCCATAAATATTTACTTTCTTTCTAGTTTGGAAGAGGAAAAAAGAATTTTTTTGCCAGATTTTTCCCATTGGTGGGCTGCCTTCCACAACAGCAAAACAGAAGCGATCGAATTAAAATCACTTCATTCCCTTTGGCCCTTTGTTTTTCTCCCTTCCCTAGAAAGAAAAGTAATTTCCAGAAATTCTACACCATGCTCTGATATGAGTGTATTAATCTGTGGTGGCTAAAAACTTTGTTACACCTGAGATTTACTTGAACAGCCCAGGCTTGGAACTGACCTTTGAAACATATATCAGCTCTCCAGTAACTTTTTAAATAGAATGATCACTTCCCATAACTATTTTTGTTCCAGCTTCAGGAAATGTTTCTGCAACACTAACCATGGGTTGTAGACACAGACTTTAGAATCTTTGTATTCTCTTAACATACACAGCCACCACCAAGCGATTAAACAGTCAGAAAGTCTTCACACCTTATCTTTGTTCTGAGAAATTAGTGTTGCCTCTGTTGGAACAGCCTGAAGGGCAAGTTTGGAGCCAGCAGAGATTTCATTTTTCTGAGACTTACTTTTCAATTAAATCATGTTTATGGCCAACTATATTTTCAAAGAACAGAAACAAAACTCTGAAAGAGAGAGAGAGAGAGAGAGAGAGAAAGAAAGAAAAAGAAAGACCCTCTCTAGTAATAAATGAAATATCTTACACACACTGAGTGAGGAGCTTTGCAGGAAGCTGCGGCAAGCTGTTTCCACAGTCTACCAGTGTAGATACCTTGCTTGGAACCAAGTAAGCACATAAAAATTTTTCTCATTTTTTG